TATGTTTGGGGTGAGCTGCAGAGGACCCTCTTCGACCCTGTGGCCTTGAGGTGAGGTCTTCCGCTTCCACCCTTCCTAATAAAAACGATGGGGGGGGTCCACCCATAGATACTGAGGGACTAATGGCTCTCCCTCCCCTCTGCTCCCCCCAGTTACATGGGTGGGGGGAGAGGCTGCTGTCAGGATTCACCAACTGCCATCTCTGCCCCCGCCTGCAATGACAAAGAGTTTCTTAATTTCTCCCGCCCGAGCCTTTCCAAATGCTTTGTGGGGTTTTTTTTGGGGGGGTGTCTCTCAGGCTTCCACTTTTCTTCCTTGTGCTTGTGGGTTCTTCTCTGGAGGGGGGGGCTTGTGGGAAGTTGGTCTGGGGCGAAGTGTGTGCGTGTGTGTGTATATATATGAGCGCGTGCATGGGTATCCCCGGCCAAGCTGTCTCTCATGCTGCCCCCCCACCCCCGGGAATCATGGCTGAAGTGTCTCCCCCCCCATCATCATCCTGTTTCAATAAAGGCGGTGGTGGCCGCCCTGACTGTCAACTGACCGGACTCTGCTTCCTCCTTCTCGGCACGGGGGTGTGTGTGTGCGTGCGTGGGGTGGGGGTGGCTTTGATGGTGGGCAGGGGCCAGATTTTGGGGGGGGGGCTCCTCAGTGATACAGCGCCCTCTTCCTTCCTCCTGGTGCTGGCAGGTGCCCTCCCTACCCTACCCTCTCTAGCCCACCCCACTTTCTCAAGATTGGGCAAAGAAGAGGCACCAGGCTCCCTGACAGTGCAAAGACTCTGGTGGCAGGTGGCATTTTTTTAATTGCAGTTTGGTGGAAAGTGTCACTTGTGGCGGGGGGGGGGGCTCATGAGATGCCTGGGTGCCCCTCCCTCCTCCCCTGGGAGGCTTCATCTTCCAGGGAGCTCCACAGGAGACGATGACCACCGAGAGGGTCACGCTTTGGTCCAGCCGTCCAGCCCCTCACGAGGGCTGCTGGACCCAAGGGTGGAGGGTCGGTGCTTCTGGCAGCGGGGGGGGGGCGATGGGGGCTCACCACTGCAGGAATGCTGCCGTGAGCAGACCTGGGAGGAGAGAGAGAGAGAAGACCCTGCCTCAGGCTGCCTGGTGCTGCCACGAAAGGGGGGGGAGTATTTCACCCCCACCACGTGGGATGAGAGAAGGCCCCCCCACCTCCTTTCTCCTTCTCCCCTGCCCCTTGCCCCCTCTTCCCGGACTAAGCCCTGGACTCTGTGCACCTGCGCCGCCCAGGGAGAAGGGGGCTGCCACCCCTCGATCGTGCCCCTCCCGTGACACCAAGGCTGCCCCCC